AGTATATCTAAATAATTTATAGAATACAGAATTTGTAACAGTATAATAGATGTTATTATTAATGTTAACCTTCAAAAAGAATGTATTTAATTTACCTATCAAAGAATTAATAATAGATATTAACATTTATAAGTAAATCCAATACTTTCAATTTTACAGAAATAACTGTTGTTAAATCTGATTTCCTATTCAAAACTCTTTTGCTTTAAAAGTTCACAAAACCTAAAACCTAAATATATCAAATGTCTATATTGCTCTAGATAAAAATATATTCGTCTCCAGCCAGGCCTACATCATGTTTAGCAGTTGTATAAACTGTAATAATGTTTCCATATCTCACTTTGACCCATAGTTTATCAAAACGTTATTTTAGAATATTAAAGACTTAATCATGTTGCAAATACTATCAATAAATCATTCGACTACTTCACATTTATATCGCCTTCATACCCAGTGGATACTGGATGAAAATTTACTGGCTAGTTTTAAAAATCATAAATTTAAATCAATAGAATTAAATTAATGAGTAAAAGAAGTTAGAAAAAATAAAATAGATAATAATATAACTTTGCTATTTTAACGTTTATTTTTTTTTTTTTTTATTATATTTATTGTTCATGATTAACAGATAATTAAAATTTTGATTCTTCAATTATTTAATATGAAAATTGTAAAACGTTATTATAAATAAACACTTTTCCTTCTATAAATTTCATTTTCGAATAATAATAATCGACCGTCGATCATTAATTGCAACCAATCAAATTTACTTTTTATGGCTTATATCCGAATATAAGGCAGAGACAGCTTCAAAGGTACCAACTATAGCACCAAAAATCGCAAATATTAAAACAAAAATTACCCAAGATTTTTCTTTCCAACCATTAAGGGAATCCCAACCGAATAATTTAATCCAAATCAAAATTGGCATAACAATTAATAATACACCATTACCAAGAGCACCAAGTAGAGCCATGACGTTGGCAAAATAAGGTACAGCAATGGCTACATAAATAGTAAAAGATACCGTAATGATTCTTATTATAGCTCTATAAATAAATTCACGAGTTTTACCCAAGGTTGCAATATTAATTGATATATAATCTTCAATCTCAAGCGCAAAAGCTGTTTGGTAAATTGGTAATGCTAGCAAAATATGTATTGAGATCATCATAATAGTTGCTGATAATGCTAAACCTGGTGGAAGACTTTTATAAATAGGCGATAACGTTAAATCTCCATATGTTAAATATGCTGAAACTCCAATTAAAAGATAAAGAATTGTTATTGTTGCGGTAGCGAGGCTAAAAACTTTTGGCCACTCTTTTGGATGTTCCATACTAAATTAACATGGGATTAATATGAAAGTTGAAATAATATGAAGAGTCCATTAAGTAGGTTTGTTTACCTTGCTTCAATGTGAGGATATACGATATTTCCACCGTAACTAAAAAATACTGTTGCCAAAGCTATTGGTATATTCTCAAGATTAATTAATTGATGTTCTTTATCTCGATTATTTGGTAAATCCGCAATTGAAGTAAAAAATACCACAAACACGACCATCCCGGTTGTTAAAGCTCCAAAAATACTTCAAATATGCAAAGAGGGTTAATTCATTTTGTTTTTGTTTAAAATGAAGTCTACGTCAAGAAAGAAAAAAAAAAGAAATAATACCTTAACCATGAGGTTTCTTTCATGGATTTAAGTAACACAAAAGGAATGCACATGAAACTTCCACAAATAACAACCCAAGTTTCCATTCCCAAATCTATACCCAAATTATCCTTGAATAATATCTGAAAATTTTCACCCGATAATATTAAATAAAGTATCGGACATCCTATGCTTAATGCATTAAAGAAGAAAGAAACAAAACCCAACCCAATCTTTCCATATGCATCATAAGATACTTGTGAAATTGAGATACGGCGGATTTCATTATTGTTATATAAACATTCAATTAATTTGATGTTTGCATAGATATTCATTGTTGCTGAAAGAATTAATAATAATATGGTTATCCATCCTCCTTGTTGTATAGCATATGGAATACCAAGAGTTCCTGATCCGGCAACAACACATCTATTAACAAATAAAAAGATTTTATTATTTTTTTTTATATTATAATAATTTTATTTTATTTTATATGATCATGCACTTACACGATATTGATATAAGCAGACCAATTTGATCCTTTACGATCTCTATGATCTTGTAAATCATCTACCTCAGCACTATCAATAACTATTATTTTAAGAAATGATTGATTAGTGACTTATTCGATTTAATCACGATAACTTTTTTCATATACCTAATGGCGTAGATCCATAGTTTTTCCATGGATCTTGTCGATTATTTAAAGGTTGAGATTTCATAATAATTAATCCTATAATTCTTAATTTCGAGGGTAAATTAAATTTGTGGTTTTTGTTTTAAAAAGAAAATTATAAAAAAAAAATAAAAATAAAAATAAAAAAAAAATTCATACTCCGAACATCTTTATATAAACAAAATTTAATTTAGTTGTGATAGAATATCAATTAGATTGCATTATCTTTATTCTCGATTTAGAAATAAATACTGAATATTGCTTTACATTTAATAACGCACGTGAAACTATAACGAATTAAAGAAGAATATCATGAAATTGATACGACTTTGATGTGCTATTGCATCGTTCGTTACTTGTTTTGAATTTTGTTATTTCTTAAAAAAGTTTAGTGGCGTTCTGAAAAACTTGACATTTGACAATTAAAACATTTTTTTAAAACCTAGATTGATTTTTTTTATTTCGTTTTTGTAATACAACTCAGAAGTAAGATGGAAAATATAGAAGATAAATCGAGAGACTCGGGATTTGCGTAAAAAGCCTTTAATATGTTTATGGCTGGTTTTACGACCTAATAAAAGGTAGGCGATAAGGAAATGAAACCGGATATTTTTCCGTTTATTTTTTTATAATTATTAGGTGTGACCAATGTATGATTACAAACTCACATACATGTGTGATCATGTACAGACATTGTTATGGTATGTGCCAAAAATACCGCACATTAAAAATTTTTTTGATTTATCCAATAATTGTAGCACTACAAAAATCATCACACCGGATGACATGGTTTTTTCATATAAAAAGATCTCTATAATTCTTGATTTAAATTATCATAAAATGTCATTACGAACGACAAAGAGAGTAATTTCGCTCCTTCCTTCTGCAGCTGAAATAGTTGCCTTAATCGCTGGTAATGATTCGGGTATTCAACTCGTAGGAAGAAGTCATGAGGATGATTATCCAGCCTCGATCACTAATTTGCCGATTCTTACTGCACCAAAGTAATTTATGCACAATTTGGGTGTAAAGAAAATTACTTCCAATTTGTAAGTGTTAAAAAAAACCTTGGGACTTTTTTAATCATAGAACCAAATTTACAACGTCTGCTGAGGTAGACGCACAAGTTTCTCAATTCCTTGCGCAGGGAGATAGTCTTTATACCTTGGATGCTAACAAATTGAAAAGTCTAAATCCGGATATAGTAGTTACTCAGGTATGGTTTCTTGGAAATGGTATAAGCAAAGTTAGTTATAAGATTACTTTTAGGGATTATCGTCATTTTAGCCTTTTTTTTTTCTAGGATCTATGTAATGTATGCTCTGTCGATTTAAATATGGTGCAACAAATCGCAAAAGAAATGAATCCAGCTCCAACCATTGTGACTTTGAATCCTATGTCGCTCGATGTAAGAATCTAATATACTTCATCGTTTATTTATCAATTTAATGTTGATTGAATTGTTGGATTTACCAGGATGTCATCAAATCAATCGGTGACGTTGGTTCGGCACTTGAAATGGTTAACGAATCTACTTTAGTTCGGTCAAAGTTATTGTCGCGTATAAAACATGCCCGAGAAGTTGCATTTCAAAGTCATAAGAATGGTAAAAAACGCGCTCGTGTAACGTTCTTGGAATGGACTTCTCCGATCTATTTAGGAGGTCATTGGACACCGCAAATGATTCGTTGGAGTAATGCAAGTAATTTAAAATTTCTCTCTCTTTTTTTTTTTTTTGATTTTAACTTCTTTGAATTTAAAAGGGAGTGCAAGTATTAAATGATTGTAAGGATGGTGAGACCGCTGAAATGGGAGCTCCGCCATCGTATGTTAATTATTATTATGAATGAAGGAATCGATATCAAATCATGGCTAATTTTCTTTTCTCACAAAGGTTTCGCGTTCCACCGCAAGATGTAATTGATACTAAACCGGAAATTCTTATTGTTTGTCCTTGCGGATTAAACCTTGATGAAACTAGAAAAGAATACGAAGAAACATTATTACCTTCGGAATGGTGGCCAAAAATTGCCGAAAACGCCACTAAAATAGCTCTAGTTGATGGAAATCAGGTTAATTTAATTCTGTTTAAATGTTTATTATAAAAAAAATTTCATATAACGTTTATATTTCCTATGTTAGATGTTTAATCGTCCAGGGCCTCGTAAGTTCGATTAAACGCTATTTTGTAAATTTATATGGTTGATTCATTCATTATTCAATTCGTACGAACTTTTTTTTTTTAAAGGTCTTGTGGATGCATTAGAATGGCTCGTTGGGTATATAAATGATATACCAGAACTAATTCCCAAAGATTTTCCATGGCTGAATCTGAAATCATAAAATCATATCTAACATGAAGATTTCATAATTCTCAATAGCTTGAATTAAATAAGTATATCGTTATATACAAATCGACTAATATGTTATGTAAATATAAACAAAAATAATAAATAATTTTAGTAATTTTTATTTAAATACATTCTCTTGGCTATGACTTTTTTTTTGTTTTTTTTTTTGAGGAAATAAAAATGTGATAATGATTTTGTTAGAGATTAACAGTGTGATCTAAGTTAAAAATGACAAATTCCTCTGTCAAAAGTTTTATTTGGAATCTAAAATGTTCTTGAAAATATTCCATAATTAATTTATTTTCTTTCCCTTGTAATTATTTGGGTGGGGCGTATCTAGATTTAAAATAAATTAAAAAAATCCATTTAAAAAAAAGAAAACACAAAAATGATGAATGAGAATAATACGTACAAAAATTTTCTTGATTTAAGAGATGCAAATCTGTTTCGTTTAATCCAAATTGACAAAATAGTCATAGCGGATAGAATAATTATGGCCTTTACACCCATTTTTTTACGGTCATCATGTTCGGGTTCTGCGGCCCAAGCAAGGAACGTCGTAACGTCCTTGGCCATTTGAGACGTCGTCGCAGGGGTACCTATCGAAATTTACATTTAAATCATTAATGAAGATTCATTCATGTGGTTAACAATCTTTATGACTCACCATCATCATATTCAACTAAGCCATCATATAAAAGTCTAGCCATAGCGATCGAACCACCAGGAAAATACGGATTATAATTTAAACCTTCACGAATTTCAACACCGGCCGGTGGATCGACGTATCCGGTTAAAAGAGCAAAGATATAATCCTAAGGAGGAGGAGGAAAAAAAATGAATCATATTGATTCACTTATAAAGAATAAATGGAAACGAATCATCAATCTCGTATCATGTATACATACGCAACCACCATGACGGGCCTTAACCATCAAAGAAAGATCTGGTGGAAGAGCTCCACCATTACCTGCGCGAGCAGCTTCATCATTAGGATAGGGACGCGGCATATAATCAGACAGCTTTCCGGGCCTTTCGAAGTAATCCCCAATTTCATTCGGTCCATCCTTGTATTCGAATTCTTCGGCCATCGCCCTCACTTCATCTTCCGTATGTGACACGTCCACTAAATTACGCCACGCGATACGATCGAGTGAATGACACGCAGAACAAACTTCCCTATATACTTGATAACCACGTCGAATGCTTGATTTATGTAACAAAGACGGAAAAATAAAGGATTAAAAATCAATTAATTTAATGAATTGAATTTCCAATATCCCAAACGCATTAACATTTTTATCTTTTGGTATTCTCTAATCTGTCAAAAAATGATTGATTCAATTATCGCGATTTCCATTCTAGGGAGTAATCTCACCTGGCATGATCAAAGGTACCGAATAGACTGCGATGAGACCAAGGATATGCGGGTGGATGAAGACCTTCTTCTTCCATATTGGCATGAATGGGATTGGCATAAAAATAATAACCCAAACCTGCTGCTGCAGTTGTTGCTACAGCCGCTGTGGCAGCAATGGCTTTTGTATTCTAATCGAATAATTATACGTAAATATATAATGTATATATAATTATAAATAATTTTAAAATCATTTTATTGCATGAGTAACCCATCTCATCTGAATCGATAACTTTTATTCATTTTAGATGAATTCTTTCTTATTAATTCGATATTTTTTTGCTGCTGTTTGAACAACAGTTACATGAAACGGTACGAGTAACATTTTTGGTACATAAAAACTACCTAAGTCCAATAAATGAAATTGGGTACTATAGAAATACGAACCGACTGAGGAGCACCGGCAGTACCTGAAACACCTCGGGCCTAAAATAGAATAATGATACGTCCCAGCTATTAAATTTTATTTTTATCTTTTATTTTTATTTTTTTTTTAAAAGAAAAATATATAAAATATAATATATATTTATTCATGTGTGTGTGTATATAGAGAAGTTACTTACCTGCATAAAAGCATTAACCCATTGTTTCAAAGGTCTTTTCACAACCTGACCCGAAAGCCTCGTAAACATGACTTTATAAAAAATCCTATATTATGTATAATAAAAAAAAATAAAATAAAATAATCGGAGCAATGCGAGGGCGATTAAAAGCCACCTTGAATTGAACTGTTATAAAAAATTTTTTTCTTTTGGTGTAACATGTAACATCTAAAACCACCACCAGTTTATTAGTCCGGAGCGAAGGGGTAACACAAAAATTGTCATGGTTTCCTAGTTAGTCCGGAACGAAGTTATAGTAATAAACTAGATTAGAAATTCGTCAGAGTTAGCCCGAATCTTTAGGCCAGAATTAAGATTCCAAACCTCCATTGAAGGGGATTTAGGTTGAAAGTAATGAAGAGAAATGAGACGCCTTTTATAAAGAAATTTTGATCGGCACATGATTAATAATAATAGTATATTTAATTGGATATTTATAGTATTCGTTTTATTCCATTAAATTATTAGAAGATTCAGAATTCAAGTTTCAATATTAAGAATTTACACATAAACATTTCCGTCTTTTGAATTATTGATCAAAAACATTTTCTAACCTTTCTCAACTATAAATTTCCACCTCACATACCAAAAACATCGGAAACATCATTGCAATTTATTTTTTATCAACCGATACTCTACTATTTTCGTAAAGTTTTACTATTCGATAGTGTTGACACGTGATTGTATGATCTTCATTATGATCACGTTTTACGCCAAAACGAGTTAAAATTTTCAGTTTGTTTTAAATTTTCCAACGATAAATCAATTTTTTTTTGCAAAAAGCAGTAATATCACTCCGGACTTAACAACGGTTCCCGTTCCCTAGTTTGCACAAAAAAAAAGAAAATGTCAGAACTTGCTGAAGGAAAGCTTTTAGCAAGTAAAACAACCTCCGAAGCAGAAAAACAGGATAAAAGACGCTTTCAAATTGAATTGGAATTCATTCAATGTTTAGCAAATCCGTGGTACCTTAACGGTTTGAATTTGTTTATAATTTATTACTGTGAACTTTTTTTTTTTGTTCTGGTTTAATGAAAGTGATTTTTTTATAAATTATTTTAGATTTAGCCCAGAAAGAATATTTTGAAGATCAAACATTTCTTAATTATTTAGAATATTTAAAATATTGGAAGAGACCCGAATATGCCAAATGCATAATGTAAGAAGCAAACAATTATTTTTTTAAAAAAAGTTATCATGAAAATATTAATTAATTTGAATTGTAACAAATATAGCTACCCACACGCTCTTCACTTTCTTGATCTTCTCCAAAATCATAAATTTCGCGAATGTCTAAAGGATTATGATGTAGCGTCAGAAATTCATTCAAACCAATATTATCACTGGTTAAAATGGAGACATTTTGATGAAGGAAATGTTGGTGAAGGATCACGTCCAAATGAATTAAGGGATAACGTTGAAAATGTGAATGGAATACCTTTTAATGAAAATCCGGGAGGTGGAATGTTGAATGGTCAAGGAACAAGATAATTACTTACTTATTACAGGATAAAATAAATAATTAATGCAAGAAAAGAAAAAAATAAATTAATCATTGTTAGAATTATTAATTTAGTAATTTTTCTGAACTGTTTACATATTTGTTTATTTAAAACATTATAAGATCTATTTAAATCTGTGGGCAAACAATTTTTTATTTTTTATAAATAATAAATTGGGTGTAGGGTTAGGAGATTTAGATCCAAGTTTAGTATCAATCTACACTAACCCAAAATAACCTGTTTTTGTGTAATCTTAAATACCACTACAGGGGATAGTTTTTTTTTAAAAAAAAATACTGGAAATTCTCGACCTTTTTCTCTTTCTATAGTAATGTCAACAAACTTATTTGATGTTCCTGGCTGGGAATTAGGAAAAATAGTACCTCAAAAAGAACAAACTAATAAAAAACGAAAAGTATCACAAGAACGAGAGTTACCTATAAAAAAAAAGAAGTTAAATAATGGAAAGAATAAGGATTGTAAATTAAATGATACAAATAATGCAAATCAAAAAGAAAAATTTGATCAAAACAAAACTAAAAGAAAGGAACAAATTAATAAAAATAATAAAAATAAAAAAAATAAAAATATAGATAAGAATGAAGAATCAAAAAAGTCTGAAAAAGATAATTCACGGAAAAGTAATGATTTGAAAAAATCGGCGGCCAAAGGTCAAAAGTTGAAAGAACAAGTTGGGCAAAAGAAAAAGCAAGTCAATTTAACTAAATCAGGACAACAGGTAAAAAAAAATCACCATTTTTTAATTGGAATATCTTTGGTTTAACTTAATTAATAATTTACTTTTTTCTTAGAACGCAGAAAATCCATTTGCGAATGCTGATGATTTCGATTTATCTGAAGAAGATACTGAAGAAATAATACCACAACCCGAAAAACCAAAGAACAAGAAACAAAAGGGAACGTTAGAAAAAATGAAAAAGAAACTATCTGAGGGTAAATTCCGTTGGATAAATGAACAATTATATACGACAACTGGATCAAAGGCTTTAGAGATGTTTCAAAAAGATCCTCAATTATTTGATGAGGTTAAATCTATAAGTTTTTATTATGATTTTATAAATTTTACACAAATTACGAAATGATTCATTGAAGAATTTTACTTTTATTGATAGTATCATGATGGATTTCGTTCAGCAGTTGAATCATGGCCCAATAATCCTGTTGACATTTTACTGTCATGTCTGAAACAAAAGCCTAAAGAAATAATTGTCGCGGATTTGGGTTGTGGCGAAGGTAAGATAGGATTGGAAGCACCAAACAAAGTGCTTTCATTCGATTTGATCGCCAAACACGACAAAGTGATTGCATGTGATATTGCAAAGGTATGAATTAAATTCACGCATATAATAAATTAATCTCTTTATTAATCAAATCACGTTTATTATATTTAGTTGCCAATTCCAGATAGCTTTTTTGATGTCGTAATATTTTGTTTATCACTTATGGGAACTAATTATGTTGAGTTTCTCAAGGAAGCATATCGTGTATTGAAACCAAGGTAAGTCTCTGAATCCCATGTTTATTCAAATTTTGGATATATAAATTGTTCTAATGTTTGCAATTTATGTAAATAGTGGAGAATTAAAAATTGCTGAGGTGGTAAGTCGGTTTTCTGATATTAATTCATTTATCGAAGTTCTTGCCGAGTTGGGATTTAAATTAATAAAGAAGGTAAGAAAAGTAATCGATTTAAACTGTTAATTTGTACGAGTAAAGGCTTAATTCTTGTTTTTTTTTCTTTACTTCCAAGGATGATACAAATGTAATGTTTATTATGCTTGATTTTGTCAAAACAAAACCTCGAAAAACGAAAAAGTCAAAATTGTATCATGCCAAAGATTTATTAAAACCATGCGTTTATAAAAAACGTTAATAAATATTTTTCTACTTTAATAAAACAAATATATCTATCTTACATTTCTCTTATAATAAAAGTTATGCCGGTTATGAAGTAAAAAACGAATTAAATTTATCCCTTTTGCGCTTGATTTTGATTTTTTGATGCCCTCGAAAATTAGCACAAAAAAATACCGAAAGCTTTTTCGATCAGTGTTGCATTTATCAAAAAGTACCCTTGCAGCCATTATTCATTCATCATTATTTTTATAATGTTACGCATTTATATTCAGCACAAATACAAGCAAATCTTTCCAATTTCATCAAATTTATCAATGACAAAGATTTATTAGGCACAATGTCTTTAATTCGTTCTAGAGATAAGAAACAGCGTCTATGATTGTTTGGAAAATTATTTGATCTAAATGCGACCGAATCATTATAAATACAACCAACACATTCTGTTAGAAGTGTTTTAAATTGACAGGAAGCATGTTTGAGCGGATAGCCATAACTAAATGTGTGTGATTGATTGTATGTGATGCTAATACCCACATAGTCCGTTTAGAAATTACCCAAATATTCCCACCCACCAATATACATAGTTATACATTTTTCTGCCCAAAGGCCTTTTCTGAAATAATCCTTTGAACCAAAATAAGATCTCATGCGTTTCTTATCTTTATACTTCGTCAACCTCACTTTTCTATTAAGATATTTTATTATATTCCACAAGAGAAAGCAGGCTAAAAGTTTCAGTAACCAAATATTCTTTTAACCTTCTATGGTGTAGCGAGATGTCATTCTTCCTTTTTTCTTCTCTTTTTAAGAAATTAACGAGTAGAACGAATTTGTTTTTGTTTTTGATCATAGCCCACCATATCAATACGTAAATCAATTTTTATCTTTTTCGTATCAGTCCGCTTTGGTTTTGCCTTGTTTTCTTTTAGTAGATTCTTTTTTGTTGCCCTTTTCGTTTTCCTTACGCGTATTAACCACCAAGCAAAATCAAAGCTCATATCACCTCCTGTACTATATATAATACTTGTACTAAGCTTGTGGTATCTGAATGGGATACCTCACAACAAGCGGGTATAAATCTGTTGTGACCTAGTCTGTAAGTAATGTCCAACTACGAAGAGGAATGGGCGTATTATATTCATCAAAAGAAAAAAATTGTATGTCGTATGGTTGACTTCTTGAACTGCCAGTTCATTTCGTATTTATATAATTTGTGAAAAAATATTTCTAAGCGACTTCAGATTGTTTGAGATATAGTTTCAATAATTTGGTCAAATCAAAAAGATCCCCTTTTAACGGAAACCTTTTTTTTCTGTCGGAATATATTGATAAAAAGTTTAGTTAGATCATGGTAAATTCCCATTTTACTGTAACATTTCAATGGTAAAATAGGGCCCCTGAATATGATCATTAGAACCTCGTTGTACGGATTTGAAAATTTTGAAAAAAGTTCGACGATTCTTATTGTACGATTATGGAAATTTGGCTGAAGTTTGGAGTACAGATTTCAGCCAATGAATGTTTACTTCCGCTGTACGGATTTACAATAAATATTAACTTACGCGTACAAAACTTAGAAACTAATATTACTTCCTCGTACAAGTTTATCCAATTTTAAAGGTCCGATGTACATATTGAGAATATTTGTTGTATAAAGATTTGAATTTATACAAACATAATCACCACCTTGTGATTTTTTTAATTTTTTTTCTGTAATAATTATGAATTCCGGCGAAAATAGTAATAGTTTAAACTTGTCCAAAAATACATTAAAACAAAAAAAACTTGATCATTTTGGAATAACAGGTAATTTAGTTCAAGGGAAAGGTAAAGGAAAAAACATGAAATTTTGATTTTTTTGAGATCAATTCTTAAAATTCATCAGTCTCCTCCTTCTGTATGAAATAATAACATATTCATATTTGCTTATGCAAAAGGAACTCAGAGTGAAAATATTTCAATTAAAAGAAAAAATGATGAAAATATAAAATCCACGATAACAGCTACTCTTCAGGAGCTTGAAGGCTTATCAGGACAAGCTTTATTAAGAAAGATTTTAGAGAACAAATTGTATACATTATATGATGATAATAAACATGTTTATTATCAAAGTTGTCAAAAACCAATAACACTACGTCGTTCAAATGATGGAGCTAGGTTAAAAGAACATATCATTACTCCAATGCATATTGGAAAATCCTAGAAAAGCAGATCAAAAAAACTGTGCACCACTTTTTTGACATCCTTTTTTGATCGAACAAAGGATAATCATAATGTGCTAGTAACAGATAATGATTTTATTGATTTGACTGAATCGGTTGATGATAATGAAGAAGTATCACAAATAAATCAAAATCAAAAACCCTCAAAAGTAGCATCTAAGGATTCAAAAAAATATGGTAAAGTATTCTATCTTGTTTATTTAGCAATCAAAATTATTGTATAAACAAATAATCTTGTATTTTATCATATTTATAATGTAGTTTATAATGGATTTTTCAGGTCTGAGTATGCTATCTTTGCAAAATATGGTATTTCCATTATTAATCAAAAGACCAAAGTTCAATATATAATTTTTCGAAATGATGATTTATATGATGGGTTGAATTATGCAGGAGGCTATTTCAAGAGTATAAAATGTCTTGAATATTGTTTCAAAAAATGGTATTACAAATGTGACCTTTTAGCAGAAAATAAAGCATTTAATAAAAGAAATCGAGAATATTAAGAATTTGATTGCTCAAATTGATTGTGTTATGATTTTATATGCAAATGAAGAATTGTCTGATTCAATTCGTCATAAATATAGCCAGGTATCTAATTTCAACAAATGGATCAATAATTCTTTCAATGAACTTAATGCACATATAAAAAAGCAAGAAAACTGTCCAAAAAAGTTTCGCTCTGATAATCTTGATAGTTTACTTAATTACTATAGAAAAGAGATTCAGGATTCTAAATATTAATATCTTATTAAGGATTATCTAAGATTAGAAAACCTTTTGGAAGAAGTAGAAAAACATGGAATTGAAAATTAGATGATAGATTGTACTTGATATATGGTAAATAAAACTATGAAAGAAAAATGACCAATATTTATCAGAGTAGTTCAATCAGTTACAAAAGTTCTAGATAAAATAGAACGTAATGTTACCACAATGTGTGGAATTCAATATAATGAAACTTTTGTTGATTTTCTTGTAATACTTATTTCAATCAGTACTCTTGCTGTAAGATGGATTACACTAAATCTTGCTAGACTAATAATAAGATTCTTTAGTAATTACGAAATAAAAGTAATGATTCTTTTAACCTTTTAGAAATTAATATTTCAAATTTTAATGAATTAATTAGCAAATGACGAATTGCATATAATTATTTAGAACTAACTATATGCGTGAAAGATCAAACTAAAATTGCTAAAATAATCGAAGTAGATCATCATTATTTTCGATTTATTGGATGTGTACAAATGCAACAAACTTCTATTTCTCAAGTAATGATACTTGATGAACTTCAACAAAAGTTAATGTGTCTTAAAAAAGCAATTTATATCACAGTTTTTGCGATTTTGACAGTTATACCTAAAATTCCATCTCTTGTAATTGCAGTACTTCTATCAGATCAAAAAGAAACCTCAGCGGTTATATTCTAAGAAAACAATTTAATAGTCAAACATCTTAATCGTACTGAGATAAAATTAATTGGGTTGTATTTTGATAATGCATCCCATGATCAAAATTAGTTAGGTAGAATATATAAACCTAATTCTGAACTTCAAATTGAATTAAGATTAATCAAGGTATTATTAAAAAATTATTATTTATATTAAGGTTAAGAATTATGTTCAAAATTATTTTTACTATTTAATAAGGAATCAGGATTAATTATAGTCAAAAATTTTCCACTTGAACTTCATTTACTTGAAGATAAATTACCGCTTCTAAGTGAAATAGATTTTTATCATTGTATAAAAAAAGGTTTGTTAGTTTTAATTATAAAAATATTTTAAATTAAATATATAATAAATTTATCTAATACTTTCTTTACTTAGAACGTAATATGCATAATTCTGATACACAGGTTGTATCAATTGATAATATAGATGCCTGCCAAACCTTCTTAAAATAATTTCGTCATATCCTTTTCTATGTTTTTAATATAGTTTTGACAGTTTTGGCTTTCGTCGTATCGAAAGAATTTCGTCGTATCCCTTATTATGATTTTAATATAGTTTCGTCTAAGTTTCGACTGTTATTAAGGGGTTTCATCCTTCAGCATTAATTGACAACTATGTAATGTCAACAGAACATTTTTGAAAACTTTATAATATGTATGAAGAAAAATCTGAATTGACTACAGATGTATTAAATCCTAAGAATAAGCAATCTGATGAACTTGTTGAATGATTTAATCATCACATATTTTAAAATGTAAAGTTTATTAACTATATAAAACTTTTTATTTTTATTTATTATTAATATTAATTATTTTAATTTAAACTAGCAATTTCCGAATATGCTGAAAAGTATAATGATAATACTTTTTATAAAGATACAGCTTATCATTTTTTTTAAGAATGCTATTAGAAGCATAGAAGTATAAAACTATGTCTCATATTGATCAAGTAACTTATGCTTAAGCAGGAACTATATTTTTTGTGGCTATCTAGAAATATATTAAAAATAATCTAGCTTAACGTAATTCAAGAAAATATGGCATTTCATGACAAACTAAAGATGATTTTCTTTATCTTAGATGTACATTAATTTTATTAATTAATTATTTTCCATTGATATATAATGGAATTCCTTTATATCCTTGGTTAATTTCTACAGCATTTTTAAAATATATTTTTGGATATACACATTGATTAATTGAAGGTTTTACATTATTGGATTTTTTAATGATGAACGAAAAGATTATTAAAAATATTGATATTGAAATAAAAGGTAAGTAATTATATTAAAAACTTAAATTAAAAAGAATACTCATTTTTTTATTATCCTGATAATAATGATGGTTATAATATACGCCTTGGTTTAGTTAAAGAGTTTTTAGATTCTAGATTAGTATTATTTCTGACTGAACTTGAAATTGAGAATATAATGAAAAAGGTAAATAAGGATCGATTGTTTTTCCTAAATATTCACATTTTTTTATATTAAAAAAATTAATGATTTAATATACTGTATTTATTTTAGGTTTTGAAGACTATGTGTGAAATTTTAAAATTATTTGACATAGATTTTCCATCAAATGAATATGTATAAATTATTTGAGAATGCTTTAATAGTCAACATAATTTTGTATACTTAGATACTAATGGTTTAGAAGATAATTCAATTCATGATACTATTGAATCAATAACGACAGTTGAAAAATTACTTCTTATGCATCAACAAAGACTTGTAATACGTTAAAACTTACCCAACGAATATGATTTCACTATCTTTAATATTGATACAATGAATAATTCATATAATGATGAAATGTTTTATAATTTTAATAGCCACCAATATCTATTTTTGAATTAATTAATTATTGGCTACAATTAAAAACTTTAAATCCTATTGAAATTATGAAAGAAATGGCATAACATAGAGATTAATATTTAAAAAATTAACTTATCTTTTAATAATTATATTATGTTAATTAATTTTATTTATTTTTTTAATTAAGCTAATTTTGATGAGTATACTCTTAAAGAAACATGAAAATTTAATTTATCATCACAAAAATCTCAAAGTTTTATAGTTAATACACCAGATGAATCTCTTGATTTAGAAGTAATTTTATGATTTGAACAAATGAATGCTGCGAAGAAATCTACATCCTGAACTAAAGGCCGGTTTGCCTAATGAACAAATGTATGTCAAAAAATATTTAATGTTATAAGACTTGATCCTAAAAATGCACAATATGCAGTTGATAATTTTTATCTTTACGTTTATAATGGTGAACATATTTATATAGCAGAAATTCTTGCAGTATTTAAGGTAATTAATTTTTAGTTTTTAAATAAAATTTATAAAAGTAAACTGAGTGATTTTAATATAATATTTATAGAAACGTGATATATCATACCTTTGAGCTGAATCTTTGGATGGATTAAATGTTAATCGCATTCATGCTATTTTATATAAGCAGAATATTTCAGATTTATATAAATTTCAACATATTTTAGATCTATCAAGAATTTAATTTGCACTTGAAGAGTATCCTTTTCATTTCTTTAATTCTTTGGGTAATGTTGAAATTAGAAGTCAAAATGCATCATTTTTAGGAAAATATATTAGATTGATAATAATACAATTACAATTGTATCAAAAAGCAGTGGAGAAAATTGTTAATATAGAATCTGGAGTTTTAGAAGTTAAAGCATTGATGAAAAAAAAGAGTAGGGATTCAAATGATTCAGAATAGTATAATAATTTTTTTTGTTTTTACTTTGTAAAGTTTTATGTATAGAATCTGGATTTTTATATGTTTAGTGTACAGAAATATAATAGTTAATAAAAAGGTTTAATAGAAAATTAGCATAAAACTAATATTTAACGTACAGATTTGCAAAATTGGCTTGTACAAAAATAACTTTTGTCTGTGAAAGTTTTATTAATAAAAATATAATGTATTCAGGAATTCTGATAAAATACTAGATATAGTTCTTTGCTTTAAGATTTATCATGTGACCTCTTGAGCTTTGGCGAATTCTTATTTAGGTTTCACCCCTTTTAATTTACTGTATTTCTCCAAAAATAAGCAACATATTTTTTACTATAGTGTTACTTATTTTTGAATATAAAGAAAAATGTAAAGACAAATTAACTAACGCAGAAATAAAGCTAATTTTATTGAAAATCACCAAAATTTGATTAACACAAATCCTATAATTATTGATCATCTAATATATAATACACGTAATATGTGATTTGATCACCAAAATCATATTTTTATCAATTTAAATAAATGCTTAATAAAAGAAGAATTATTAAATATAAGGCAAAAGTTGTTAAAATGAATTTCATATACCATAAAACAAAAAATATAAGTCATTACATATGTAAAGGAATAAAAAAAAAAATAGTGCAGCAAAATATTTTAACATTAATTCTAGTATGATAGACTATTATATATTGTAAAGTTCAAACTAAGCTGAAATTAAAGAAATAAACAAACTAATCATAAAGCTCTTTTTTTCCTAAAATTGAAAGAAGCTTTATGATTAAATTATTTAATAATGAAAGTAAGATCTAGCTGTATCATTTACAATTTTACAAAGTAAATGCTTAAAATTTTACAAGAGAATATATCAGAACTTTATAAAGACTTGGCAGAATTTTAAAATATCTTACTGTTGGTTAATAATATTTTTGAAAAGATATAAGTTAGTATTATGATAATATACAAGAATTTTCCAAAAACTCCAAGAACTTTTGAAAGAATTTCATAAATATATCATTCATCTTAGGTTGAAAAAATCTTATAAACTAAAAATATTCTAAATATAAACAAAATACCTATTTAGTTCAATATAGTAGATAATTTTATCATAAATCTGATAAGTGAAAAATCTGTTCATATCTATATATTTGAAAATGAAAAAATTAGTTCAACATTATTTTAACTTTATTAATGTTTTAATGTATAACAGGGATCATATTTTACAAAAAAAGTGCTAAACTTTGAGATCGGGACACCATGTCCTGATCTCGGAATCCATGTATCACGTGACAACTGCGCCATTTCGAACCCTTTCGGCTAATTTTGTCTAGTATTCTTCTTAACCTGAGATGCGACATATTTGATATTATCATCGCTTAATTTTGAAATAGATGTCGCTGAAAACGTTTTTATTCGTTGGATGAATACCATCCGTTGAATTTTATCTTCGCTAATACGAAAAAAAAAGATCATAAACCTTCCTCGCACTGTCTGACTTCTTTCGGACAGCACTTTTTGTAACCTCTTTGGGAAGCTGATCTTTAACCTCATCATAGAGCTTCTTTGATGCTTCATGATCCTCATTAGTTTTTCTATAGTGAGCAAGACGTTTCTCTAGCTCCTTCCCGTAATAGTAGTATGCAATAATAAGCAACAATAAGTTCATAGTGTACTTTTTCGTTCCGTTTCTTAGCATTGAAGATTTTTAAATACAGGTCAAAAAGCATTCAATCACTCCTAACTTCTCGTATAGCTTCTCTATGAAGTCCTCTCTTTTCCTTAATTTCAGAAAGTCGAGTAGTATCAGAAAATAGCTTCCAGATAAGTTGATTTATACAAAGTCACATCTCTCACAAGAAAGCTAAATAACATAAATGCGCTTGATGCAAGTAAACTTTTATTGATAATAATTTTTTTGATACATAGAATTTGTAAGAAATTATATATAAATATAATAAATCTTTAAAGTCTTGCGACTACTAGTATCTATGCACTTCATTACCACTTTAAACAATTGAATTTTTTAACAATTCTTGATTCAGAATATCTTTCTATTCTCCTTTTCTTTCGTTGTGCAATCAGCCCTTCTCTTGTATAATGATGAGCACACACCTATAAGATGATTACCTTATTATTATTAACACAAACATAATTGTAACACCTGCAATAAAGTTTGTTATACTTTATATAATTTACTGCCCATTTGATCAAAGCTTCGTATACAAAAACGAAATTAAGAATATCCACCTAATCCTTTAGGAGACTAAATCAATCTATCTCAAATAAACGATACATGCCTAATAATCACAGAGAATCATTATCTGGTCAAATTCTAGATATATATATATATTGCCATAAAGATTTATATATACATACCATGAAAATCCATCATTGTAAGAGATATCTCAGTTTTATACGCTATGGCAGAGATCTGTATAAATCTGTCATCATTTAGTTACCTCTGATACAATTATATTATTGAATAACTGCGTCATATTTCTTATATTCTTTGTGTTATCGTCAATAATCTTTTTTTTTTTCGCTCCAGGCTTTGCCCTCTATGCAAACAATTTGATAATCCGAAACATCATTAAGAAATCCAATACCGTCCGCATTGCTTTTTTTATTTTTTCCTTCAGAGGAATTTCTTCACTAGTAAAATTCAAGCATGCCATGAATAATGCAATTAATTTTATGGAAAGAGGAAGGAAAACTTCAGCTCATGATATATAATTTATTCCTGCAAAAATCCACAAAGAGCTATCAATTAGTGGATGAACAAATTGGCTTAAATGTGGTCTCTCTAAGGTTGAAATATTTCTTAACGGGTTTAGTGAACCTAAAGAGAAGGCCTTTATACTATATACAATAGGTATAGTAGGTATTAGCTAATTTGATACTAAATTTTACAAACTATAGTTTCTAACTTACAATCTTCCAAATGTATCCTTTAATAGTCCTTTCGTATCTTTTAACTGTTCAGAATCTTCTTCACAAATTGCTATATTTCGAGCCACTTCACACCATCCTTAATATTCACAGTCAGTATTAAAGAAGTCCGTAAGATAATTATGAATTTCATTCGTAATATAATCGTCTATCTCGTCAAAGATTTCATGTAAAACTCGATCCTACAAATTCTGATCTAATGAAATTGAGAACTCTGATCTTAAATGAAGATCCATAATTGAGGAATGGCTGAATTTCGAAGAGTATATATCTAAAACATTCTTTTCAGCTTGAAATGCTGAAATAATATCCTTAAGAATATCATATACAAGCGCCTATAAAGAATACAAATGAATCAATATTTCCTTAATCATTATTAATGATGTGTTACAAACCTTGCTACCTTCCTCTTTATTTTATTTGAATTGGGAGAGCCATTGTTGCAGTCGCTACCTTCCTCTTCATTTTCATTTGAATTGGAAGAACCATTATTACAGTCGCTTCATTTTCATTTGAATTGAAAGAACCTTGGGGGAGCAAAAATTCCATTACCTAAGGTGATATTTCTTCATCCTAAAAAAAGTTAGTGAGTACAGTATGGCTAAAAAGAAAGGTTCATAATCTATTCCTCCTCCAGAATAGATAAATCTCAAATGTCAAAAACCAGTCAGCATAGCCTTTTCTATACATATACGCTTACACGTAGAATTACACTAGTCAGCGTAGCCTTTTCTGTATACATACGCTTATATGTAGAATTGCACTAGTTAGCGTAGCCTTTTCTGTGCACGTAAAATTGCATTAGTTAGCATAGTCTTTTCTGTACACATACGCTTACACGTAGAATTGCACTAGTCAGCGTAGCTTTTTCTGTGCATATACGCTTATACGTAAAATTGCACTAGTCAGCGTAGCCTGACACATACCTTTATATTATTTTCAGCGTTTTGAATTATCATAAATATGTTTGCTATTGTAATTGTAATGTATTTTGATACACTTTATGTCTTCTATATATCGAGAAACTTCGTGGTCTTTATAAAAAATATCAACTTTTCCTTACGATAACGTAGAAAGCCAAGTAAGCTTGGTTGGTTTTTTCTAGAAACTTCCAACCAGTATTTTTCAAAATAAGGTAGTATTAATAAAGACGTATATATATCAAGTAATGTAAACTCGTAATATAGTTACCAGCCTCATTTACAACTCTTTTTAAACCTATGCTAACATGTGAAAAGAAAGCGAAAACCACCTCTTTTATAAGTTTTAATTTGTTTCAATTTTCTTCTACCATGTTCTAATTTTTATAGTCTGAAGAAACTTTTACATTGATCACGTATCGGTATCATGATAAGCATAGCAGACTTTCATTGTGATTGGCTAATGTTTGTCAATCAATTTTTGTTATTGCTAAAATTCTATTGGTTGATAAAGTCACAAGATCAAATCGAAAAATTATTAATCAAAGAAGCATAATGAGCTTTATTCTGATTGGCTGATCTTAAAATGATCGTCGCATATTAAATTTCATATGAAAAAATGATCATCTAACTTTAAATGAATTCGCAGCCACAAGGATGGATTTGTAAGGGTTGTGATAAAATTTTTTTAAAGTTTACCATTTATTCTATAGACTATTAAAATAATTTGGTAAGCGGAGAGGTAATTCAGAATTTAACTAATAAGAATTTTATAGCAAATTTTTTTTATTAAAGTCATTTTATTATTAAAAAGAAAGAATACAAGCAAAATGTCCTCCCACCATGAAGAGACATTTATTTCTAATATGAAAAAAGGAAAAAGTAAGGCTCAGAATTATGATTTGAAAGGTCAGAACAATGTTATCTGTAATTATGAATAGCACAGTGCATCTATTGTATCTGAGCAAATAGATATTCCAAGTTCAAGCCAATATTTGAATTTAGTTAACAAGGCTTTATGCTGAAAACACTATAATAAATTAATAGTGAATGTAAGAAAAAAATCTAAAATTAATAAATGTTTGCATCCAAAGCACATATTTTATATATTTACAGCTTGAATAGTACAGAAGGGAAAAAACTCAAGAAAGCTTCAGAACAATTAATTAGATTCTTTGAACTATCACAAGGGTAATGATATGTCATAATTGCTTATACAAAACTGATGATAATCTAAAATATGTTAATTTGCTCAATTATCTATCACTATCTGAAAAAATTTTGAGAGAAGATATAAGAAAATTTCAGGAAAGGTTATATATATTATGAAGTAACATTATTTATTCTGAATCTGAATTTCAGGAATTAAAGATTATATATAATGAAGTATGTGCAGAGCTTGACGAAGTGAAACTAGGTAGGTAATTAACTTTATTTGTAGCTGTATTATGAATTTTTTTTTATGTATAGTTAATATTTTTTTTAGGGTTGATTCCTCTTGGTAAAAAAATTAAACTAATGTCAAGAGTTTTATATACAAGACAGCATATATATTATGAAAAACCTATATTCAATCTAAAGGAATTCAAAAGGATGTTTAAGAAGGTTAAACCATCGTTGAGAAGTTTTTTTGATTAATTAATAGTCAGAATTAATCCACAAGCTAAGAGTCATATGACTAATAAAAAGAATAAGGTGAAATTAGTTTCATTTTATTATTTTTTAGCAGGGTTTAATAATAAGTTTATTAACAGAATTAAGGTAGAAGTTGGATTTTTACTAGATGTATCTGAAACATCTTCTTTAGCGATAGAGACCTTAGCTAATGCGAGCTTAACGGTAAGATGTGAAACTATTGCAAAATAAAAACTCTGCAAGATAAAAAACTCATTAAGAAGAAGCATACATAGTGATATTAGGAAAGTTTTTATTAGAAAATGTAAGTATGCAAATATTTTCTTTAGCTTTATTATTTGTAAATAACAAACTGGCATTTTAATTTATTCACAGATCAGAAACTTGATAGTTCTTAATATAAATGATTTTTATAACATTCATAAGTATTATTGTAGTGATACAATGATTACACATGAAGTTTCTTACTTTATTACGATACTCTTAAAAGCCTTGTCAAAAACAGTATCTTTTACATTTTATGAGAAACTTTTTTACAAAATATTCAGACATCTAAGGATATTGGCAAAAAAACCAAAACCTTATAAAATTAATTTGATACTTGAACTTGTATTTCAGGGTTAGTCTCGAGTACATTTAATCATTTTACAAAAATTCGAATTGTTCAAAGATCCAGAAGTTCAGTATCTTATCAATTTACTGGATAATATCATTCCATTAGTTTTAGATTTCTATTCTGTTATATTTTATAGTGGAAATTGAATGACATATAAAAGGTAATATTTTGTATTTGGACTATTTTCTTTCAATATAAGTGTAAAAACTATAACAAACTTTCATTAGCATTTTTAAGTGATATTTTTTACTGGACTAATACTAATTATCCTATTTCACAAGTTCTTATAGATTTCCTTCATATTTTTAACGATTATTATGTAAAAAACTTCTATAGCTCACTTTGGTAACAAATATAGAAATTAAATATAGTGAAACAGATTATTTGACAAGCGTGAGTAACTAATCAGATATGTGATGGCACCTCTTTCACAGACATATTTACTAAGAATCACAATATCAGATATTCAGCAAAGCAATTAGAATATCTTGAAAAATAGACTGCAATTTTTCTATTAAATCTTTTTACAAATGTTTATCAGAATCTTGGTAATTCAAAAATTGTTCTATCTAATATACATTTAAAATTAAAAATATATGAGCTTTTAACACTTGAAGTTCAAGTTAATAGTAAAATTTTAGCAATAGCTTAAAATACAGCACATCCTTCCAAAGAAGATAAATATTATGATTTGAAAGGTTGCGTAGATTCATGTAAGGTAAGTTGTATTTTGATTTGTGAACATGCTTATTATTTTGAGTGTTTCTTATTTAAATTAGGAAGTCAATATCAATATTATACTGATTATCTTGTAAGCGGAATTGAAAAAAATTGTAAAGATTATCAGAAAACTTTGACTTCGTTTGATAAATAATTATAAATGTGGGTAGAAATAAATCAGATGATACTGAAACCACTGATAATACTAATATTAATAGTGAAGATTTTTCTTTAGATAATAATATAAATTTACTTTTCAAAAATGCTATAAATACTTTAACAAATGTATAATTTGATAAAATTTTGCTGTTTTATATATAAAATGTAGTCAAAAAAAATAACATATTTAATATTTATATAAATGAAAATAAAAAGAAACCAATTTTATAAAATTTTCTTTATTAAATA